TCATTTATCTTCGAAAAATATTGCTACATCCTAATGCGATCTAGAGTAAAAAAGCTTTCAGCGCAATCCCTAACGGGATTAAAAAATGTGAAACACCATCCACCTGGAGAAACTTTAAGCACACATACTGGTAAATTTATTTCGCAAGTCTACATTCCTATTTATTTAAACTTGTGCTGTTGAAAATAGCATATGATCGCCAATAGCGATGTCTGCTGCTTTTTAAGAACTTCTTGCTTCATCAGTCACAAATATGTGATGCTTCTTACTGCGCTTCCATTAGCCGATCACGATCTATGACGCGATTTACGCGCGTCAGTGTAACGAAGTTGAGAACGGGCCTGTTTGTGAGACAATGACACACAGTTTATTTGGATTTTCTCCTAACACGCTCTCATCACTCTTCAGTTTTTAGGTGCACGTCTTTACAGAAAACAGTGAATTACGGTCAACTATACTCTGTAAAAAAATCGGGTCATACTGAACCTTTTTTCGGTACCATTTTCAGAACCTTTTTTGGTTTTAGCAAAAAATCTAGAACCTAAAATGGTTTTAGCCAAATGTGCCGAACTAGAGAAAGGTTTCAGATTTCCTTGCTAGAACCCAAAAGGTTCTAAAAATAAGGTTCTGAAGATGCTACCCAAATCTAGAACCATAAAAGGTTTTAGCTAGCGTCTAAAACCTTTTATGGTTCAGTATCGCCCGGTTTTTTTTAGAGAGTAGTAACAACTCCAGGACAGACGGGTTATAGGTTACATGCGTGCCAAAAGGCAGGCGGCAACAATAAGTCCCGTTAGACTCCGTAATGATCTACGGGATAAGGATTAGCGGGCGGAAAATCCCTCTGTCTTCCAAAACTCTTTAACATCTTTCTGCGAGTCCTGTCTTACAAAAAGAATGGAACAGTTAGCTTAATAGCAAATACGTCCGCTGTAGATGTTTTTACTGCAAATAAAATATTAAACCTTAACTGGTAGTAGTTTGCACTCTATGACCTTTACTCTCTATATAAGGTAGAGTATCACAGCGCACTTGTATGTAGTGAACCGCTTATGCGTAATGACCTTTGAATCTTTTGGTCGAAGTATGAATTCCTTAACGGCCTGTGACTGGGTTTTTGGGCCTGTCGGAGACGGTGTGTGACGGGTTTTGGAAATCTGTCGATGACGGTCTGTGATGGGTTTTCGAAAGTTGCACCCGTTGGCCGTTGGCCTTTGATCCTGTCGGTCACGGTCTGGGGGGGGGGGGTGTAACGATAATGATATCGTTCATCTCTTTCTGTTCTTTATTCTCTCACCTCTGTATAATACTATCTCCGGGTCATATCTCTCTTTCCTCTTCTCTATATAAGCACGTGTCTTATTGTAAAAGAGATACATTCTGGTCATGTGGAGTAGTTAATAAACGTCTATACAGTGAGAAGCGGTCAGCTACTCAACCAGTTTGTCATTACAGGGTGGCTAAAAGTTTTGCCCTTAAACACTTCAACACTCTCCTTCGGATCGTGTTTCACAATAAGAATTAACCCTCCTGAGTTGTAGAGCTATCATAGTACTATATATGCATTGAAAATAATAAAGCTATTTGTTATGATATTTTGGAATTTAAGAGATCAAAACCCTCTCCTGTAGAACACCGAAAAAAGACGAAATTCCATAACGGTGGTTTTGTCATTACACATTAATGCAGCTAGATGAGAAATATCTTGTGTAATGAAACAGTATGATAATAAGTAATCTTCACGAAATTCAGTCTATGTATCTATAAAAACATGACTTTTTAAGGGACATAATAGAAGACCCGGGTCTTTTAATATGCCCATGGCTTTACTTCAAATTTAGCATGAAAATGATCAGAATACTCTAATCTTTTATTCTATCGAGCATACGGGCTGGGTTATATTGAAAAAATAAAAGAGAAAAAACAGGCTATTACACGTCCCGTCCTTAGTTTTTCATAAAAAAATAGTCCATCTAAGAGTGCGGAGGTTCTAACGTACGGTAAGACTTTTTCTCATATTCTTTGTTGTAGAATTAATAGAGCTCAATTATAATCACTATTTCCATTTGAATAACTTTGAACTTCTAATTAAACTAAAATGTCACGCTGACGGAAATTAAGAAGAATATTTCTTTCTTATAAACAAAAATAGAAGTAAAGTAACATCTCAAATAAAAGAAAGAAGATATACGTACACATTATGACACTCATGACGATAAGAACATTTAATAACACGGATTTTATTTTAATTAGATGTTTTTTTTTCATAAGAAAATTAGTATTCTGTAGTATAAAAATATAAAAGATTCAAAAACGTATGTATATAAATTTTCCTACATTTAGGTGAAAAGGAATACTTTTAAACAGATTATAAGTAGTAAACGTAGGTTTGATCGTAGGAAAAAGACATGCATTAAATTTTAACTTTTGTGGAATGTTAAGAATCCTTAATCAAATAAAGTATTTCAAAAAATAATTGTAAATCACCAAAAATTGTCTTTGCATCTGGTGGGATCCTTAAGACGAAGGGATTTGTCGAACAGAGCAGCTCTTAATGTACTTTTGAATTAAAATCTGTGAAATGAATCGACCCGGATTCCACAACAATTACGAAGAGTTAATTCATTTGTTTGCATCAGCTAATAAAGAAGCATCGATTTTCTCTTTGTCTTCAATTGAACAAGGTACTTTTAATTCAACATGAGAGTTAATATGAGAAAGATCAATTAAAGATTGATTATAATCCGTTGTTGAAAAATTCATTAGACGATTGTATAAATACTTTCGAGAACGTCGAACCCAAAAAGTAATCTTACTATCGTCACCATAATCATAACGTGCTTTGACAGAAAGACCAACATGATTTTTCAATTGATATTGTGGCAAAAAAAAGGAACAATTCCAAGCACGATACACACTAAAGATCCAAGTATCTTGATGAGCACCATGCGATGGTAACGGATAATATATTCCATCATGTAAGTCTAAATGTTTTCTATGTGTAAGATGAAACGTCGGATATTCACATGCACTAATATCACGAAAAGCGACAATACCAAAATTGCTAGCAACACCACAGCTTTGTAGTAATTGAATTGCGGCGCTTGTCCATCCTTTCGTTCGTAATTGTAGATCATCATTTGCTGGATAAAAGTAATCGCAGCCATCCTTATAGGCAATAGCTGCTAATATATTCCAAATAGCAGTAATTCTCTGATCGACCCCATACAGTACATTTGCTTTGATGTCTACGCGAAAATCGGATGAACTAGTATTTCTTATGTAACTATGGATAAAATTAATTAGATCACTCCAATTTTTTTCATTATCATACCATGGATCATCACGATCATAGCCAATATATAATTGATAAGTATACTGAATTTCTATAGTATTGAGAACAGATGGTATAAATGTATGAACTAAAGGAAGATCGGAAAGGCGAAGACCATCGAGTTTCATTTGATTAACACCACGGCTTGAAACTGGTAACAACATACATATCGAGAGAGGATGAAGAGGAGATTCTTTGTGCGCGCTATCTTTCGATAAAAAAGGAAAATCATATTTTTTCTTTTGTAGTACGATAAAAAGAAGTTGCGTGAAAATTATAGACAATATTATTAACAGAACCAAACGAAATTTTTTCAGTTTACACGTTGAGATGCCCATAAATTGTTAATGATCCGCTAAAAAAATAGAAGCATCTGAAATATAGGAATACATACATTTAGAGATCTTTTGAAATGTAGACGACAACAAGATAGTGTCAGCACTTTGTTCTCGGTACTTCCACAGGAAGAAAATGGATACTGTTCGTTCAACGAGGTGCATTTGATGACGAATTTTAAAATAAGTATGATCGAATAACAAGAAAAGAAATGAACTGAACACCATAGTATAATTATATGTATCTAGCTGTATTGTCTTAAACAGTAATGATGTTAGTTAAGCTAGTTCATTCTTGATTCGCTATTGGCAAATGAAAAAAACACAATTTTGTGTGTGCATCTTACAACATGATATTTATTTGTTTATGATCGACATGTAAATGCAAATATTACACATTCAACACAAGTTAATATAGTAGACAGGAAGGGAGAGAGAGAGAACATGGAACGATAGAAAAGAGGCATAAGCATAGGGTGTCCGGAAAGTCATTTAACGAAAGTTTTTTCATATATCTGTATTATTTTATTTGATTTCATCAACAATAGGTTTTTAAATTGAAGCTGACGACAGCGAATTTTTATTTCTCTGGACGAAATTCTATACGAGCCTATAAAACAATCATCTTAGAACAAGACGCCAAAATTTTATTTACTTTTTATTATTAGAAAACATCATGTTGCGATTTTTTTCTCTAGTTATTTTGACCATTTCTATTAATTCTCTGTAAAATTGCATTGAAAAAAGGGTTTGAAATCTTTTCAATGTACATATTCTTGTAGAGCTCGACGATCTCTATCTAACTTTGTAAAAATATTACAGAAAACAAACTTGGTCGATTTGTGAGTTATTCACAAGTCAGAACTGATGCACGATTTTGATATCTTGGTATAAATTGATAGTTTTATACACTCGAATAGAATTTCGTCTTGAGAAATAAAAACTCGCTATCATCAGCTTCAATATCAAAAAGAATTTGTTGATATAACCAAATAAAATAATATAGACATATGAAAAAAATTTTGTTAATTGATTTTCCGGACACCCTATATAACATTGAATGAGATTGAATATAAGAGTAGATGAGTAGAAATTGTCCTTTTTTTATTATGCAACAACTGTGATCAAATATGATCCTGTCAGAGTAGAAATTGTCCTTGAGATACACTTCTAATTAAAAATGTAATCCAATTTTCTATACCAGCGCAACTTCAGTCGAAGCTCGCTAAATGGACCAAGTATAAATTACAGGAAGGAGGAAACAAATGTGTAAATAAGAAGGGATAACTGAATAACTATTGTCTCTGACTTTCTTAATCTGAAAGAAAATATTAGTTTTTAACTTCCCCAATCTGTTGCAAGCTATTAATCGCTTCCTTAATGATGATTGAATCTGCATATTGAGCGATATTTATCGATGATCGTTCTTTTTCGATTTCACCTTGGATCCAAGCATACGTTTTTCGAATACCTTCTTTAAGAGTTATATGTGGTGCCCAATTAAGTATCGATTGGATACGTGTATTGTCGCTATTACGACCACGAACACCTTCAGGTCCGGAAATATATTTTTTATGAATTGAAACGCCTCCAACTTCAGCTACTATATCGCATATTTCATTGACTGAAAACATTTTATCACTACCTAAATTTAAAGGTTTATTATAGTCACTCATCATTATTCGTAGAACACCTTCGATACAATCATCAATATAACAGAATGAGCGTGTTTGTTTCCCATCACCCCATATTTGCACTACACCGTTATTATTTCCTTCGTATGCGACAAGCACTTTGCGGCAAAAAGCTGCCGGTGCTTTCTCTCGACCTCCTTTCCATGTACCTTGAGGTCCATAAATATTATGAAATCGAGCAATACGAATTTCGAGTGAAAAATCATGGCCATAATGCTTGGCAATTTCTTCGGAAACGAGTTTCTCCAGACCATATGCACCTTGTGGTTTTCCAAGCCATGCATCATCCTCACGTAAACTTTTTGCATCTTCGGTCATCTGAATACATTCAGGATAAATACAAGCGGTTGAAGAGTAGAAGAAACGCTTACAACCATTGCGACGAGCAGCTTCGAGCATATTAAATGAGATCATAGTATTGTTCCACAAAATGACAGAATGATTCGATTCGATAAAGCCCATTCCACCCATATCGGCAGCTAAATTAAATACCCAATCACATCCAGCTGATGCTTTGAGACAATTATCAAGTACACGTAAATCAATATGAAGAAATTCATTACAGAATTCATCTTCAATAAAATATTCATTTCGTGCCCAATCTGCTACAATTACATAATGACCTTCTAATTTCAATCGTCGTGCTAAGTGACTGCCGATGAAACCAGCACCACCGCCAACAAGACATTTGAGTTGTCTTTAAAACAAAAAAAATTTTTGAAATAATTTGAAAAGAGTGAGGTTGAGTATGAGTGATCTGGGTGAATTTCATCCAAATCATCTTTCTATCGATTAACGTTAACAAAATCATTCTGAACATGCTGAATAATGTAAAATGTAGAGACTCGTTCAAAAACACCATTTACTAAATTGGGGATTCGAGTTGAGCATAGTCAAAGTGAGAAAACGACGTTCCGTATCAGCTCATCATTCCAAACTTCTAACGAAAAGATTATCCAAAATTTTCGTCACGAATGTCGGAATGACAAAATTGAACTAACTAAACAGGATGTCTAGAACAAGATATGCTTGACAGATTCAAATAAAAAAGTTGAGGAGTTCGTGGATAAACGAACTATACTCATCACCAAAATTTAAACTACACAATTCACATTCATCCATCTTTAAGATGATTTAGATCGTTCTTTTTATACAGATTTTAATTCTGATTGGTTTTGGTTTTTCATGATAATTGTATTCATAATCATTAACATATTTACGCTTTTTTAAAAATAATATTTAATACGAAACCCAAGGCGACTTGAAATTTGTCTTTCAACTCTCTCTCCTTTCTTGTATCATTCGAATTCATGATATCTATCTTCTTAAATAATGTTATAAAATTTCTAACTATTTCTTTCTCTCAATCGTCAAAGTATCAACAAAATGCTGCTGGTGACAGCTTTGAAACCTTCTACTTTGATACATCTCTTGCACTACATGTAAATTTCGGATAAAATTTGAAGTTTGCGCATTTCTTTTCCAATGAGTCTAGTACTAAGAGGTGTAGCAAAATTTTAATGTAGAACTTAAGACATTTGTAAGAAATCTTTTGTATGCGTTTGGCGCTATTTTCATCTGACAATCCACCGGAAGATGTATCATCCCCACAGGCAAAAATACTGGCATTCGAAGTGTAAAAGTTTGTGCGCTATCAAAAATCTATGAAATTCAAATCACATAAAGACTTACGTAGTTGGTGTCAATTGCATTTGTAAATACACGATATAATGTTGAAGTTGGTCACAGAAATAATTTTTAGATACTAGTAGAAAGCTAAAAGTATAAAACAATAAGTTCATTACTATAGATGAAATTGAATAAAGATCCAACGGTAATAATTTTCCACTGTTTATGATACTCAAATAGTAACTATTCTACCGAAAATTAATGAAAACTGACTTCTACTATATAGCCGTTATTTCTCCAATGTACAAATCAGATATAAGAACAATTGTAACGCTAAAATAGACATCTTGAAAGCTTCTCTATTCGTGTGACTACGTATTTCTTAATACTTTTTAAATTGCACGCATTTCTATTAAATATTTAATCGGATTCCACGACATTTCAACAGACGACATGTACCCGAAAAGTTTCTGTTTTATTTCTATTTAATAAATAAGCTTGCGATTATTGATCAGAGAAGGATGTTTTCTCTGGTCGCTTAACTTACGAGGGAACCTCTCGAGATGATAAAGGCCTTTATGACTCATGCTTTGGCAACAGATAGACCTCTATATAAGGTATGAAAAACTTCCAGAGGATTCGTTCCCTTATGTCTTCTGTCAGAAGTTATAGGTATTTTACTGGAATTTTTGCCTGTAGCGCGGTACCTACTAACAAATCAAATGTCGAATTTTGAAGCTGAGATTTTGCCTACAGATAGGGCTATTAGTAACTAGAGCACCCTGAAAATTTTAGCTTTAAAGAACATTTTCTTCTTGACATACTAAAGGTTCAAAACTACTCATATTTTACGACAGATAGACAAGTTACTCGTTGATTTTTAAACTTTGATATCTCGAGAAGAAAATGTTCTTTAAAGCTGAAATTTTCAGGGTGCTCTAGTTACTAATAGACCTATCTGTAGACAAAATCTCAGCTTCAAAAGTCGACATTTGATTTGTTAGTAGGTATCGCACTACAGGCAAAAATTCCAGTAAAATACCTATAACTTGTGACAGAAGACATAAGGGAACGAATCCTCTTGAAGTTTTTCATACCTTATAGAGGTCTATCTATTGCCAAAAGATGAGCCATAAAGGCCTTTATCATCTCGAGAGATTCCCTCGTTAGATGAAACCGGAGATCATATGAAATAATTGAATCAGATAATAATGAGTAGACAAGTATAATTGTTCCCACAATGAGAACAAATAAATGATACATCAAGATTAATATTACATGAAACTTGACTTAAATTATCTTCATATGCTACTATTACTAGTTCTCACTACAGTGCGTCAATACATGTTATAACATGTTGCCTCTTTTTTACGATTGCGTCGCATTTGCGATGGTATATGCGTCGCACTTATCGCAGCAGTCCTATAAACTATACTGCGCTTACTGCGGTGCATTTGCGACGTAGTCATCGCATTTTCCTTACTTATTCATTGGATGCTTTCGAATAAAAACGATCATCCTTTGTTATAGGATATAAAAGGCGGTGCAATCACCATTTAAGCTCATTCTCTCAACTATCAACTTCAAAGTCACTTGATATTTTGACTGTCATTTTCAAAACGTAGGTAGTACTCAACACCTATATGAGTGATCTGTGTGATGAGTCATACGTTGGTGTTATCGATGGATTATACTTGGATGAAAGGATGGGTGGTGTCGTCAACAGGTTATATATATGTAATACGATTATGGGTGTCGTTGGATAGTCATATATATAAAGGTGACTGATAGTGCTTATTGAAAAGAATTACATCCTCATAGATTTTCATTCAATTTTGTACAGTATCTTGTTCGTTAAAGGTACTTTTTTTGTAAAATATATGTTCTTTTCTAATTGTTTAATAAACCAAAAGAACTAAATACTAATTCCTACTATTTTACTAAGTCTTATTATCAGTTTTTAATGAAATAATGGCTGGAAATGGTGCCAGAGACAAATGCGATTATTGCGTCGTGATTGCGGCGCAACTGCGATTTTTTTACCGCAATTGTGCGCAATTGCACTATAATTTTTCGCAATTGCGGCTCACAGTGCGATCGCAGTTGCGCCGCAATCTCATCGTAATCACAAACATGGGTATTAACAGTACAAGAAGAGATGATAATATTCCATCAGAATCTAAAATTTTCAAGTAACTATTACGAACCAAAAGTTTATTTCATATGATGATAATGATGTTAATCGTAGAACAATGAAAAAATTTAGTTGCTCTTGCATTCATTCTATCAGAAGATATTTGTAAAAAAATTGAGTACATTTGTCATTTGCTGAAATATCGTGCCACGACTTCTATCAATTATTTTCTAAATTTATTTTGTTAATAATGTATATAAAAAACATGAGATGCCTAATTCCACTTATATTATAAGTCGACCCCCGACAGGCTAGTATCAATTCGATTATAAATAGATATCTATATCACACTTATAACAAATCAGTAGATAGGAATAGAAATAGATTTAGTTTCACTTCTACATATACACACCCACACCCTCACTTATATCTATCTCGATTGAGGGTACCGCGGTGGGTGTGAGGGTATGTATGTATAAGTGAAACTAAATCTATTTCTATTCCTAAGTGTGCTAGGAATCGGTCACTTATATTATAAGTCGAATTAGGCAGCTACTCATAAAAAACGTCTGCCTTTCTTCGTTCTTTTTTATTAGTCGATTACTAGACGACTGTTTGTCTGCTTCTTTTTTTCTTGTTAATTAGACGCAATAAATTTGAGACAGGAGATATATTTTGTGATTTCTTTTCCGATTCTACTGGACGAGAAGAATTATTTTAATTAAATATAATTTATGAATATCGATTTCAGTTTTATTAATGATGAGTCATAAAACTTTCAAATAACATATTATTTATTTTCGATTATTTATTTTGTGAAACACGATCTGAAAGGGAGTGTTGATCTGTTAAGGGCAGAAATTCGGACCCCTCCCCTTCCCCCACAGACGTTACAGAGACCCAGAGCAACAAATCCGATGCTGAATCCGATCGGATCTTATCGGATGGTCGGATCCGACCGGATTCCTGGAAACGGAATTGCATTGGAATCCGACTAGAAAAATCCCGTCGGCTGTTGCAAATTTTATGAGCGATCTTTTTAGCTATGTTCTATGATGACCCTTAGAAAATCCATGTTTCGGATCCAACGAGATTCGACATGGGATACGATGGGATCCGAGTATTGGACTCTTCGACCTGGGCAGGCTAACTCCCCATCCCCTCACGGACGTCACAGACGTTACAGATGCCTCAAAAACCCCATCTCAGACGTTAGAGACACTCGAAAAACTCCGTCATAGACGCTAGAGACGCCTCGAAAATCCTATCACAGACGTTACAGACAGACGCAACGATCCCATGTTGAGGGTGCGAACATGGGAAGATGGCTTATTTACACACGGATTTTACCTAGACTCGATATTCATTTATCTACAGAAACTATTACAGATAGTTCAGATTTTCGGAATAATGTAAACACAGAACAGTTCTCGTTCGGAAATCTCCGTTGTAATGATGGAAACAGATTTATCGTGTTTCATATTTTTAATCCCGCAAGGGATTGCGCTGAAAGCTTTTGTACTTTTAATCTATTCATTTAAGTAAGATCTTATCAATAAAATGAACATAAAACAATGTTGGCAAAAAGGCANCTGAAGGTAATCGAGCATGCTGAATCCGAATATCGTGGTCGTTACGGCTAATACTACTTTGAAGACCGGGTTTTTGAAAACCAGGGCTCTAGAAAACCTAGTTTTTTTTAATGTTCTTTTTTATTAGCTCAGTTTGTAGAGCACATCGAGTTGTCTACAGAACAATAGTTGTTTCTATTTCGTATCGTTTTTTTACAAGACATGTAGCCATACAAATCCATATGAGTGATGCATATCTTATCATTTTCATATAAAAACACAAAAGGTTATTTAATTTTCCTGGAGTATGCTGTTGTGAGCAAGCAATGCTTGTCGATTCATAGACAACTCGATGTGCTCTACAAACTGAGCTAATAAAAAAGAACATTAAAAAAAACTAGGTTTTCTAGAGCCCTGGTTTTCAAAAACCCGGTCTTCAAAGTAGTATTAGCCGTAACGACCACGATATTCGGATTCAGCATGCTCGATTACCTTCAGAGCGGTAAGTTCTGACTTGAAAGCGATTTTCAAGTTGGTGTACCTTCCTCGTTAGTACATTTTAATAATACTATAATTACCTTCCAGGCTGATTCTACCTATGAATATTCTGAAACTCCATACGTCAGTAACATCTATAAGAATAACGAAATCTGAATATTTACTGAATTCAGTGAAAAATTATAGATCTGTGCTAAAGAGTTTGAACGGTGCCGGATAATTGTCTGTATTCATGAATATCGAAAGTAATCACGGTGATGCCTGGTAAGAAGTTCTTATCCAGGTGTTATTTATCAGTCACGCCTCATTGTGGTTGATAAAGTTTCGCATTTCACTAAAGAAAGCATTGAGTTTTATTCCATATTGAATATTTTCATGAACTTATATATAGCTATCATTCATACATGTGCAAAAGAAACAAATAGAAATAGACTGCATAAAGATTCTCTCATGCATGTGTAATGGCAATGACCTATACCGCTCGTCACATTTTCAGTGGTTTGCTAATATATGTGATTCGGAGATGTTTCCTGACACACATGGGCCTTTTAAATAAATATATATGAGAGCGTTCACCGGTGAATATAATTCAGTTACACGCATATGAACAAGCATCCTTTCTTCGCTATATACAATGAGACAGAGGATATTATAAAGTACTAAGTACAGATGTACTAGTACCTGTACTGAGTACATATGCACTACAGTACCAGTACATAGTACTTAAGTAAAATGTACTTAAGCACAAGTACAAGTACGTTAAGTCCAGTACATATTGAATGTACTTGTACTACAAAAATGTACTGTGTACTGGAGATTTTTAAGTAAAAAGTACGAAAATACTTAAGTACTGTACTAAGTATCCAATCACTGGTAATGATGGAAACAGATTTATCGTGTTTCACATTTTTAATCCCGCAAGGGATTGCGCTGAAAGCTTTTGTACTTTTAATCTATTCATTTAAGTAAGATCTTATCAATAGAATGAACATAAAACAATGTTGGCAAAAAGGCATTTATCTCATCATTTTATATTTTACCTTGATTTTGCTGATTTTTGAACTCGTACAACCAAATTGCTTTAAAAATGTCTTGACATCTTTACCAATAATTGGAAAATCCGAGAGAGTCGTTAGTATTTCATGGAACTGTCCTCTCAATCTATCGCAAAAAACTTATCCATATTACAATGCAAGTTGGTGTACACAAGAATTTCTTGCCAGTACATATAAAAGAAAATTAAAGCTACGAGAACTTTTATACTTAAGCGACGAGTTGCAAAGTACAAGAAAGTCCATTTCTTTGACCACATGTGAAAAAGAACTATTTCAGCAATATCGTCAGGCACGTTCTTCTACAAATAGACCTGATGTTATTGTCTATCTTACTCAAAAACAAAGTCATACAGTATATAAACGTGATGTTTTTGTCAATACTCAAGAAAGTCTTGATATGCTGTTCCAGCATTATTCTGCAATATATAATACAGACATTCTTCTTTTGACGAATAAGAATGCCTTCAATGATGATGATCGCGCAATTCTTTCTCGAAATGGGACTCGAAAAAATCTTCGATTTTTCGAAATAGCTGGACCATATTGGGATTATATACCAGAATGTATTAATCAAAAAATAGATTTACAGTATGAAAATTCGTTCAAAATTGGATATCGACAGATGATTCGTTTGTATTCAACAGTAATTCCTGATTTATTACATAACCTTGGTTNTCTCCGCATCGAAATACATCTATAAATGTCTTTTCGGAAAAATCGATTTTCAATGTTTTTTTGACCCTGCGGACATACAAGCAAGCAGACAATTAATGTTTACTGGACTCTTCTCTACGAGAAAGAGAATATTTAACATTTTGTTAACATGTATTAGTCTATACTCATCTTTCACTTTGCTTCACAATCATGCAAATCAGATTGTCACATTTGATCTGACAAAACTATATATACAGTGTGAATGAAATGCAAGTGCATCCATATGATGCTAATAATTCGAGACATCCATCAAATAGGAAATTCAATCATAGGACAAATGTAGAAGAGTTTTCTCTCTCGACTGAAAGGAGGGTTATACAAAAAAATAGTTTCTCTATGTCACGGTCAAAGGTCAGAGGTCGAAATGCATTATGGTAGCTATATATTCACTCTCGTCTGTAGTTTTTGAGCTAGTGTCTTGAAAGTTCTCTTGAAAACTAAACCCGTAGAGTAAAAAGTTCCTTATTTTTCAATAGTTAAATAGATTATATTGATATATCCATCTATCAATCAATTTTCATAAACACTTCAGACAGATTTAAGTTATAATAAAATGTAACGAAAAGATAGTCCACAACGTTTCATCGTTCGTCTAATTTTGTTTCATACCGATCTATTTTTCGTGCTTTATGTGTCTTTCATAAAAGTGAAGTAATGCTTTATAATCGGGTCCATACATCAATCCATATTACAATTTGTCTATTGATAGACCTCTCGACCCATCTTCTGATATGTTTGTCAATTTCTTTGCTGACGAGTTAACAAACTTCTCCCATTCATCGTCAAACATCGCCGGAAATTTCGGATCATCTAACTCCATAGATATTTTTAACTTGTAATTGAATTTGGCTAAATCGTTCACAACGGTTTCGGTTAAACTACCCGTAGCATCCATTAATGTATTGACCAATAATCCTGGTTTAAACAGGTTGGCTATCCATGTCCAATAACCACCCCAACTATTTGAATCTAATTGTGGACTATAACATCCTGTGCCAATAGAAAGTATACGATAATTAACCAATCGTGCTAGATGCATTCGTATTGACCATGTCGCTGTTAATTCTGGATCATTAGCAAACACACCACCATCAATAAAAACTTGATCTTGAACATCTTTTCCATTAGCATTTTTTTCTTACCAAAATTACCATCTCCTTTCTTTTCCCATTGACACATATGCCACGGTCGAAAGTAAGTAGGAGCAGCCATTGTGACTTTTAATACATCTCCTACAAGATATCCCCAGTGTTCTTTACAACTTGTATTAAATGCAGTAATGCAACTTGTCGTTATATTGTAAGCATTAATAATTAATACTTTTTTATTAGTGTTATGAATTGCTGTTATTGTTGTTGTTGTACCTTCATTGGGATTCAACAATTTATGTAAATCATGTAAAGTTGCATTTTCGGCTGTTAATGTTACTTCTTCATTGAGCGTATTTTTAAATCTCTCCTTAATAATGTTATCAATGGTGTCGTGTATCTTCTGGTCATTATATTTGGCAGTCATGACATTTACCAACGTACCGAACATCCAAGGTGTCCAATTTTTTTGAAATAATCTGACGATTTTGCATATATCTCCTTAATCTCCAATAGAGGATATTCGGTGGCCAAACAGAAAGCAATGAGCCCACCTGTACTCTTACCAGCAAAGTAATCGAATTGCTTAGTAAATTTGTGTTGACCATTTTTAAATTCTTCCTTGTATTCTTTATACTTAGGATTAATGTTAGGAAGATAATTATCTTTTATCAGTTGCTCGAGAACTTTAATGGACATGTAGTCACGCACACCTGTAAACAAAGAGCAATGCAAGAACAAATATTTATGCCCGAAGAAAGTTGATTATCTGACCTCCACCATCTAAGCTCAATACACGTACAGTGTTTTCATCTTTTGGTACATTGTACTCTATCATCATTGAATTTAATTTAGACCGTTCGTCTGATGATAATAATGATAAAAATGATGGTGGTGATGATTTTTTTTCTCTATGTAATGCATCCATAATAATAGACATTTGCCAATCATTTTGGATTTCCTCCCGTTTCATTATCATTCTGAAGTACCCTTCGTTTATTGTATCAATATTATTATCCAATTCTTTATCAGTATTTCCGACCATTACCAATGACATGTTTTTACTACTGACTGGATCATCATTGGGATGAAATGATTTATGTTTCGATCCAGTATCATATTCTAACGGATTCTCAGTTAATTTTCCACATTTTCTGCATAAATCAAAGCTCTTGCATTTATCATATTGTTTCCAACTGACACTATCGATCATATTTTCAGTTGTCACAATGAAAAAGTGCAGAGATTTGACTGCTTGGCTCTAGAAGCCATGATGACGCACTCATAGTTATATAGCAGCAGCTGTTGACGTATATTATGGTTATTCGTAGATCTAAAACGAAAATGTGACTTCAATATGATTAATAAAATATATACAATACTCTTATATATTCAAAGATAACATCATAAAATAATATTCGTTGTTTTTTAACCTTTGACTATGACACTGTTTCTTATATACTACTCATTCTTTCTGTTTTATCTCTATGCGAAAAAATTAAGAAAAAAACTAGTCCGATTTTGCCACGACGAATATATATCTCTGAGAAGATAAGGACGGAGCAGATATACAAATAGGTCTTGTGAAAAATGATATTTTTGGATACAGGGGTGTCTTTATTGCTAGCCTTTTTACATAGTATCAAGTGTGAAATTTTCGCTAGGCTATGAAGTCACTTTTATGGAGGCGCTTTAGTTGCTTTTTATGTACGGTGTCAGTGTTACTGTGGTCATTCCATATTCAAAATATGTTCGTCTAATATGATCTCATGCGCTATATACAGTTGGAATCTTCACTAAGACACATATAGCTCGATGCTGTTACATTACTTTGCCAGATGCCAAGAACGAATCGAATCATGTGTACTGGCTGTGATCATCAGGTTGACAATATGCTTCGCCTGTATCTGTGTGTTCGGGTGCTGGAAAAACCAGCAATTACGGATTCGGTGTATTAAAAATGCCGATCAACGTTTGACTATTCGAAAGGAAAAATGAGAAAGGAGTTTGGTAAGTTTCTCGATACTGAGATTTTTTGAAAACATTATGCTTGGTAATAGTTTTTAACTATATTTACTTGTATTTGCTTGAAAAACAATTTCGCCAAGTTTTTTAAAAGGTAGACGTAGGATATCTTATACTAGGATTCGAGTTTTTTCTGAATGGATTTGCCTGAAGATTAGACCAACATTAGACCAAGATGCAACTCAACGAGCTCTATCGATTGACTACCTTAAATGCTATNGATTGCAATAGATTCTAAACCTTTTAGGAGTTTGGTAAGAAAACGATAACGCAGCTCATAAAATCTCTAATGAAAGTATCTAAGGCTTATATGAAACCTCACGTAGGATATCTTATACTAGGATTCGAGTTTTTTCTGAATGGATTTGCCTGAAGATTAGACCAACATTAGACCAAGATGCAACTCAACGAGCTCTATCGATTGACTACCTTAAATGCTATATTCGGATCTATTATAGTGGTAAAAACTACTAAATAGTAACTTATTACTAATGAATTTACTATATTCAAAAAATTGACTGACAGGTTAGACCAAGATAGAACTCAATGAGATCTATTAATTGGTAGCTTTACATACTATATTCAAATAAGTTAGAATAGTAAAAGTTACTAATTCTTGAAATATTTGTTAACGAATAGTCTAAATGGCTTTTTTAATGCACGGAGATGTAAGACTAAACTGGACCAATATTAGAACATGATACTATTCGGCAAGCGTTTTTGCGAGAGTGCTGGTCCGTTTCATCCGTTCATATAGTTTACTGAAAATGAATCATAGCTCTTATTCTGAAGGTATGTTGTATACGATCAATAAAGGAATGCTCTTTACATTAATTTTGGGTGCGGAAAACGGTTATTATTGTCTTTTAATGTTCTATCTTTCTAATTTATTCACTTCAATCCGATTGTCCTTCGGTATCGATTTAATTTGTAAAAGTAGATATACTATTTGCTTGATAATTAAAATAAGGCACCTTTGAAAGAAATGACATCACACATTTATTATCTGCTTTTTTATTTAAAGACTTTTGATTCGATACTATCGGAAGATTGCTTATCAGTAGACTCTTTTGATCTAATAAATGTATGAATATAAAAGTGATGACAAAGATGAACACCTTGCTGCTGAATGATGCGTGAATAATTTGCCTTAGCCATTATATTTCTCATTTTCTTGATTGGTCAATCTATTCTCCAAATTAATGACGCGTTTTTCTCTCTCTCTTCTCTTATGTACACAGATACGTAAGTATTAAATAGGGAAGAGAAAGAGAAAGATAATTAATACTTGATACACATAAACACAATATACTCATACAATTTATTTACGAACTATTTTATTCATATTCATTAAGCAGTAATACAAATTATCAATAAATGACAGAATCTGATTTAGATACGAAAGGTAAGAATATTTGGTCAAAAATTGATTTAGATCAATTTGTGGCTGCTGTGGCTTCTTTGGGAGATCTTTCAGATAACCTAGCTGCTGAATATCATGGCGATTGAATACAAAAACTAAGTCATCCGATTCTCTTTGGCGACAAGCTATTGATTATTTGAAGCTAGATCACAACGAATCAATACGCCAATCCTTATACAAAATTTGGCGGCGAGATAGTAAGGAAGTTTCAAAATTAGTGGAAGAAAAGAAAAGAAATATCAATCCAAATCGAGATATTGGTCATGACGATCACACTTCTGATTTAAATCAAATCAAATCAACTCAACTTTAGCTCCAAATTTCTCGCTTCCATTACCACAGCCACCTAGCACACGTGCTCGCGACAAAAACGAAATCTTCGATCTAGACAATACTCAAGATTATTTTGTTGGACAAATATCGATTGTTTTCTCCGTAACCGAATGGAAAAATGTATTTAGTCATACTAATCAAAAGATGAAACATGATTGGACTAACAAATTCCGTGAAAAATTAACCGTTCGTGAAACAGGAATAACTAGTGCTTTGAAATTTAACGGATGGCCCATAAAGAATGATCCTCGCAGTATTTTGCATTTTTCTCACCTATAATTCAAGTTAGAAAAAAATGTTTTTTTCATAGAAAGATTCCTCATCAAATTCTCTACAAGAGTAGATATTTTTATTATTTTAAATAGTTTCTATTATTTTGTGACATGCGATACAATCGATTGGT